GTTCAATTACACCAAGAGAGAGTGTATGTTAGTTCAATTACACCAAGAGAGAGTGTATGTTACCTTAGTTACACCAAGAGAGGGTGTTTTTAGTTCAATTACACCAAGAGAGAGTGTATGTTACCTTAGTTACACCAAGAGAGGGTGTATGTTAGATCAGTTACACCATGAGTAGGTGTTTATTAGCTCAGTTACACCATAAGGGGTAATATTGTCTCAGCAACTACAGCTTATGAGTACAGACAAACAAAAGAAACCAGCACCGGAAAAAGTAATCGCTAGATAAGTATTAAATGTCTTGAAAAAAGAAGATAAAAACAAAAACTCTGCACCACCGGTGGGAATCGAACCAACATTTCTCACCCGAGCTCTTTGCGTCCGGCATCTGTTGCCGTAGCCGCGGTATGGTGTCGGTAACAAACTGCACATAGCCCGAGGCGGGCTTTTTTGGACGCTCAGGGAGAGCGCCGCTGGTTCCAGGCGGAGCAGTCTTGACGCCCGCGCAGGACCTGCGAAAGAGACGAGAGTATGTATGTATGTATTCACAATCATGAGCGATCCACACATGGCGTGACGATTACTGCAATTACTGGGTGGAGAAGAACGAGAAAAGGGAGCGAAGCAGTTAGCGGCTAAATTACCTACTGCCCACCCACATTGCCTAATGCCTGAGCTGATGCAGGGGAGCTTGGGCTAAGAGCTTGGTTACGCTTCGTGATCTCTAGATTTTTCTGGAGACCTTGGGGTTCAAGATCAAATTTTGGTATTGAAAACGACACAAGTGACTGGCATTAGACATGGTTAGGACTTAGGACGATAATCTACAATGGCTAAAAATAACATTGAATGTTGTTAATGCCTAAAACAGAGTTATAAAAGAAGGTGAAAAAGTGATTCTGTCCTGTAGATACCTGTCCCATAGCGCCTAGCAGTAGAGGGTTGGATTCCGCCTGGTGAGAGCATGCGTTCCCGGTTATAACGCGTTCCCGGTGAGAACGGTCCGGGTTCAAAGCGTGACAGGCACTTGACGTTTATGAGCCTCCTGAGCCTTCAGCCTGACAGGTATGGTTGCGGTTGGTGGCAGACCGTAGCCAGGCGAAGTCAGTAAGGGGGCCGCCCGTGCGCAGCTATGTGCACAGTGCACATGTTAAACTTTGGACTCTAAATTCTGCCATCGAACCAGAATTGCATGATCGGAGGGTAGGGGGCAAGGTCAACGCAACAAGCTTTGTTTAGAGAGGGCTCTGTCCTTGTAAATCCTTTCATTCAAAAGCTGCAGACAAAATTTATGTTAAAAAATATTTACACACAAAATGCACAGCTACAATTGGAAAATGACAACACTGCAACCAATCAAGAATCAAGAAGCATTTGGGCTCCAGAAGAAGTCAAGGCCCATGTTGTAGTCAACTTTTTTTAATCATACGTTTTTCTGCGTCAGTCAATGGTCTAAGAAACATCCAATGGTAGATAAGATGTTACCACAGTAGGTAGCAGATTTAGGCAAATCTCACCTGAAGCCGAGCGAAGCAGTCATCCTCTCAACCGGCGTTATCGTTTTAATCAGGAATCTCAAAGCCATGTTTGAAACTGGATACCTATTGGCTGGCTGATGTCTGAAGAAGTTTTGATGAACAGCAATCACTCTGAAACAGAGAATACCTATTTTAGAATGCCTACAATTAATAATCACAGGGTGAGCATTAGGCAGGTGAGTATTAGGCAGGTGAGCATTAGGCATTAGGTTTATTACGGAGCGAGCGAAGTCTTTCCTTAGATTAACAGAAATTCCTGAGTATGAGCGGCGGGCCGGGGCCGGCTGTGCAAACGCTTTTGCGAGGCTTATATCCCAGCAACCACCTGACCGATTTACATGCAGTAATTTTTGTAGGGTAGCTTCATTCCTTCTACCAAGTACTGGACTATTCCCGATGCATGTGGGTGACTCCTTATGCACGTGCCACGTGCAAAATGAAGAGGTGTCAGTTTTGTAATTCTTACAATATCTCGGTAACTACTTGGCCGATGGCACTGAAAGTTGGCATGTAGGTAGGCACCGAATAGGCACTGCATATCCATGTGCCAGAGATGGGGTGCTGCTGCACATGCGTATGTGCAGGGGTCGTTTCCAGATCTCGAGAAAGGCTGGACCGATTGCACTCAAATTTGGTACGCGGCTAGGGACCGGTTAGTAAGGTGCCATGCAAACGTCAGTCGGGACTCATTTTGAACGTGCGCACGTGCAGGGTGCTGCTTCCAGATCTCGAGAACTGCTGGGCCGATTGTGCTCAAATTTGGCACATCACTAGAGACCGGTTAGCAGTGTGCCATGCACAAGTCCGTTGGAGGTAACCCTTCGCAACTTCGCACGTGCAAGGCCCACCCTCTTGCTCGTTCCGTTAGTCGCCCCCCAAAGGCATTTTACTGGTATAGCCTAAAGCCTTGGCATTAGTTAGGCAGGTATGGGTAATGGGATGCAACATTTCAAACTTATTTTTGGCTAGCATTACGCAAAACAATGCACAAGGATATAAATGGTCAGATAAATTGCGCACACCAGTGCTTTATAGTGTATAAGACGCACACAACAACAATGCCGCGACTTGTGCACAGGCCTTGCTAGACAGATCACATGTTCTAATAGCTATTCCAGCATATGCTTTCGAAAGCATTTTTGCCCTTTCTCACGATGCTATTCGCTGCTTCTCATCACAAAGCGTCATATATACAAATAATGAACACATTTCCCGCGTTTTGACAATCGTCTTTGATGCGCTGAAAACGCTTTCTTTCTGTTCATCGTTCGTCGTCTTTTCTTTATGAGGACTTTTAAAAAAATATCACTAGAAAGTGACGAATACTTTTTTTCTAATCCGATCTTTAATCCTGATTTTTGCACCTTCTTAGGTCCCTATTTGATCTAAGCTTATCAGACGGGCAAGGCTATCTATGAAACCTATGCAATTGCAAACCTCAAGGCTATCCCGCGCGGGGCTGGGGGGGTAAATTTTACCCCCCCTCGCGAATTTTTGCGATATCTCAAAAACCGCGGCGCGCAGCGCCGCCAAACTTTCAGTACCTTTTCTTACATCAATTTGACACGTTCCCTGAAAATTTGAGCGAAATCCGTCGGAAAATTTTTGAGAAATTGACGTTTTAGTGACGTCATGTTCGCCATTTTCGCCTAAAAAACGGCAAAAGTTCAAACGCCGCTAACATCTTCATTTTTAAAGGAATCAAGACGTAACAAAAAAGGTTATACGTAATTTTACTTTGTATATCAAATGGCTATCTCGGTTTTTTGAAAATTTTGGATTTTGGCCTAAATTTTTTCAAAAAACTGACTTTTTTGGGAAAATCATTATAAAATCCAAAATTTTGAGTCTATCGAAAAAAAACCGGAATATATGTCAGAGAAGTGGTCTATGTGCACCTACATACCAAATTTTAGAAGAATCGGTTCAAAAATGTGGGAGTTATTCAAAATTTTATGACGTCACGACACACAATTTTTTTGAAAAATGACTTTTTTGGAAGTTCTAGACCTCGTACGGAAACAAAAATAGCACCATTCGATTCGCCTTGAAAAACTGCATCAGATAGACACCTTTTTAGGCCTTAAAAACCAACTTCAAAATTTGACCTCACTTGACCTGACCTTGACCTGACCTCGACCTGAAATTCATCCAGAGGTGGTCCATATCACTTATTGAGTGTGCCTATTGAATTCTATGAGTAAAATGACCCATAAAACATGTGTCGCACATGCCCTTTTCTATATTTTGTTTTTTGGTGACCTGACCTGACCTGACCTGACCTTGACCTTGACCTCTGAATGATATTGTATGCAACGAATATTGTCTTGGTAGCCTAAGAACACGTTTTGGGCGATCAGTCTCAGTCCATGACTCCATTCTTCGGCAACTACGGTGCAAGGCCGATACTGTAGAAACTTGCAATTTGTACCCTTGACCTGACCTTGACCTTGACCTCAAACTTTAAATTAAGTACATGTTTTTAGTAGTTCGTGATGAGAGCTTTCGATTGGCGTTTGAATTTTCCAAATCGGACCATTAGTTCGGGAGATAACAGGGGGGGTAAAATTTACCCCCCCCCCCCCCAGCCCCGCGCGTTCGGCTGGAGACCCCAGCCCCGCGCGGGCTATGTAAGGCTATGTAAACGTTCGTGAGTGAAAAACGCGGATGGGTTGGTTTGAGATTCGAGTCAGTGACTCTAATTCCCGGCTCCACAAAGGTCACACTCCCTGCTCCCTGTCGAGTGTCGCGCCGTGCAGACTCCAGCCGGTGTCTGCAACGGTCCACTCTGCGCTCACGGCCGTGCACCTGGTACTCGATGGCCGACCGTGACGCAGCTCGGCACCACGCCTCGGCGTAGCTGTCACCCTACTAACTGAATAGTGGCATGCGCCCGATACAGCTCGGTACGGGCATGCCGGCGTCATGCCATTCCTGAGCCGGCTGCCACTGTCGGTGCTTGACGAGTCCTGTGAGAATTGCACGTAATCCTTCCAACTATCTCTCCTCAGTCCTCCCGGTCCGCTAGACAGTCGAGTGCTCTCACTCGGCCCGCCCATGGTGCCGAGCACTTCGAGGCACGACAGCCGACGCCCGATTCTTTCTTGGGCATTGTTGCAAAGTTGCAATCGCGATACACACCAATAGGCAACAAATGAATTAAAACAATGATTTCCACACTGCTCTTAGGCCGGCTGTGTTTAGCTATGCGCAAGCTTCGGTCAGATAATTGATGTTGTTGTTTTGGGTAAGGGCCAGATAATTGATAGAGGTGCAGGTTTCAACACCGGACACGGGACAACGCAATGCGCATATAGGAGCTTTTGACCAACTTTTGACTCTGAGTGCTAGCCTGAAGAGCAGTAGCATAGTTATGCTTCGGTGAGATCGTGCTTTGATATTTGATCTGGAGTCTGGACTCTCTGGAGCGCACTGCGCAATGCATCGCAGCATCTGCCGCCTCGCTGGTTTCCTGTTTCTCACGGCAGTGGGCCCGGGGCCGATTAATAATTTCACTGCGGTGTTCCTTTACGGCGACGCTCTCTTGAACGACGCCATTTTGAATCCCGTTATGTTGTGAAGTTGTGTTTTGCGGAGTGGGGCTTTTCGCTGCCGTTCTGTGAATGGTGGCTGGTAGTTTTATTAGAACCGACAAAATTTGCGAAATAATCGTCTTTCATCACCTACTTTGCTCAAGATTTTCGATAAGTTGACTGGTTTTGCGTGCTAGAGGAGTGACGCCGAGGACGTCGCTTTCGGTCGAGTCCCTCGCTTGGTAATCACGATGGTAAGTGGCTATCGTGAAGGATTCTGATGCATGCAAGGAAAAATAAAGTTGCATCCGAGGTATACAATATTTGCTGGTTGCTGAACTATTGATGATTTGAAGTGTTATTTCAATGAATTGTGAGATGTCCACATGCTCGGTATATCAGTCGGGGAAACTATGGTAAATTCTGCTATTTTTAGCAGTCTGCTATTTATAGCAGAAATCTGCTAAAAATGGGTACGCATGTGACGTCATCGTACCCAAATATAGCAGATTTGGGTACGGCCCCATACAAAAGCAGATCTGCACCCTAATTGAAGCAAATGCGCATCAGATGCCTGGCAGACTCATGATGAGAATAGTGCTGAGAGTGATCTCTGCTATTTTTGTTCAGATCCGACTATTTTCAAATTCATTATTTGAAAATAGTCGGATCTGAACAAAAATATCAGAGGACATTCTTAGCACTATTCTAATCATGAATCTGCCAGGCATTTGATGCGCATTTGCTTCAATTAGGGTGCAGATCTGCTTTTGTATGGGGCCGTACCCAAATCTGCTATATTTGGGTACGATGACGTCACATGCGTACCCATTTTTAGCAGATTTCTGCTAAAAATAGCAGACTGCTAAAAATAGCAGATTTTACCATAGTTTCCCCGACTGATATTCTTTACCTACCTAAGCATGGCTGAGTCCTGTATTTTATATCCAAGGTTAATCCAGCACTTCTCTAACAAATAAATCCTGAGCATATCTGACCACCTTCCCCTCCATTCACAGGCTCTGGACGGGCAGAAGTTCTGTCTCAAGTGGGACGGATTCCAGAGTAGCGTGACGTCGCTGTTCGACAACCTCAGGCAGGTGGAGGAGCTGGTGGACATCACGCTCTGCTGCGAGGGCCACCAGGTGCGCGCGCATAGGATGATGCTGTCCGTCTGCAGCCCGTACTTCAGGGATCTGCTGAAGGTGAGGCTCAGTTTGAAATTAAATGGCGTCAATGGCCTGGGCCCTGGTTCACCGGTGATAGCAGCACGCTGCTATTACACGTGTCAAATTGGGTTTCCATGGAGACGTCAACAAGCCTATTCCTCCAACACTACCAGAAGTCTGACGTCAGCTTGCGAAATGGAATAGCAGCGTGCTGCTGTCACCAGTGAAACAGGGCTCTGACAAACTGGTGTCTGGTGGCAGGCTGATGGATAGTAAAGTAAGAGGGCTGGTGTGAACAGTAAAATAGCCAGTAAGATATGGAGACAAGGTGAATATGTATTGCACATAACTTTCCTTCCATTTGTAAACTGATTTTGATGACTGGATTTTTATAAACTTCAGGAATTTGATAAACTAGTACCTGCTGGGGATCCTGGAATTTCATGCCCTTTGTGGAGAGGGATGTTTGAATGCGCACCTCCTTCTGACTCGGCTCCTGGGCCAGGAAGCGATACTGAGTAGGCGATGTTTCAAAGAGCGTAAAAATAATAATGAAATGATTTCAATCTCTTTTCTCAACTCATAGAGCAGGTCACCAGAGTTCATTGAAGGCCAAATTTTACCCATTTCAGGTAAATGTTGACATTTTCTACAAATTGTCACAAATCTGAACCCAATAGAGCTACAAAGCTGCAGAAAAACTCAGTCTTATTGATGCTCTTTCCAGGTAATTCTCTCAGATATAATCTAAGGTCAATGGTTTGCAACAGCCCCTTGTCAAGATGCATTAACCGGTCTCCCCCGTATATGGGGTGGGGGGGGAGTTGAACGGACCCCTCTCGGTTCTTTTGCGAATAACTCGCGTAAAAAGTGGCCGATCGCGACGAAGCTTACAATACCGTCGAGTTGATCAACTTTACACCTACTGTGAAAATTTCATGACCCTGACCCAATTGACCTGTGACCTATTACTCGACACCATTTTTGGCCGGAATCGCGATTCGGCGTATGTCGGCTCGCATTAGCCGCGCGTTTGCTGTCTTTTCGTGGTTTCAAACGTTCAAACACGCGATATGATGTTGGTCACATGCATTAGAGTGTGTCGCTTGGGTGTCAAGGTCACCTGAAGGTCAGGTCAGGTCACTGACCTTAGATGACCTCAGCTCACTGAGTTTTACATTCAAAAGATTCGGACTAAATTTATCAAAAGAAACACCTCCGCCCCCGAGCAGGGTGTGATAATGTGATTAATGAAAAGTTTGTTAACCCGCGCCCCAGTGGCGGTCTCAGCCAACTTCGCCCTAGTGGGGGGGGGGGGGGGCATATGTTACCACCCACCTCTAACTCAAAAACTAAGAGGGCTAGAAAGACGCGGTAAAAAGCAGTCGATAGCTCTCAATGCGTACGTTTGAAAGTATTTCAGTCATTTTTCATCTTAGAGCAATATTGGGGTCACCAGAGGTCATCAAAGGTCAAAATTTGCCAATGGTCATTATATTTTTCAGAAAACATGCCGTTATCTCAGGAACTATGGTAGCTAGAAAAACGAATTGAAAAGCAATCGATAGCTCTTGAACTCTTCTTTTGAAAAGGTCATTATCAAAATTGACCTCAGGTCACGGGTTTAGCCTCCAGAGGGCAAAAACTCCAAAAATAGCTGTTTTTACGAAAAGTGTTTTTCGACAATAACTTTCGACAACAAAAAGCCACGACATTTCTATTACAAGAATCGTGTTCCTCTCGCCGAGACGCGTCGAATGAACTATAATTTGACCTTGAAAGGTCAACTTGAATATTTGACCTCAGGTCAAGGTCATGACCTGACCGGAAAAGGTCATGTTGCATATCAGTCGATGCGTCTCGGCAAGACAAACACAATGAGACCATCCCCAGCGTTCTATCTCTTTCCAATCGCGAGTTATTGGCAAAAATCTGTTTGTAGCCTCAAATGACCTCGGATGACCTTTCTAGAGGCTATCAGCAAAAATGACACCCTGGTCATCACGGTTGGTCCAAATCATCGTGATTCTGAAATATTTGGACTGTTCCTATGCGTACACAGGGATCTAGAGGCGTTTTCATTTTTCTCCATTGACTTGTAATGGAAAGGTCACGCCACTGACCTGACCTTAGGTCACGGATATAAAAAATCCGAGATATACAAATTGTAGGCGCCCATAATATCATGCAATCCACCAAGTTTAAAACCTTTCTGACAAACACTGCACGCTGGACATGATTGCAAACTTTTTTAGGCTTGGTCAGTTAACTTGACCTGATGACCTGACCTGACATGACCTGGGGTCAAAAATTTCACACATTGTCCAAAATTAATGTACCAAAAGCTACCCCAAGCGGCGCGCCGCGGTTTTTTATTTATACGCAAAAAACGCAACAGGGTGGTAACATATGCCTCCCCCCCCCCACTGGGGCGAAGGTTAAAGGGACTATCCCACCTTCTAAAATGTTGTTAAAACCAGTTAAATTGTGCCCGACTTTATAGATTGGATGACCAGGAACACGGTTCTGGCATTTATTTTTCATTAAACATCTTAGGCTTCCCATATTCCAAACACAAACTTTCAAATATGTGACGTCACAGCCCAAAATTACCTCCTTCCCCAGGCCACATTTCTGTCATAAAGCTGATTCTTTTTACTCTGTAGGCACCACAACAAAGTTCAGACCAAGTTTTAAGCGATTTTTCAACGAACAAACCCATTTAAATCAGAATGACTAAACGAGGTGACGTCACACTAACGGTCGCTCCATGTTGAAGATAGGGCCTTGTACAAGGCCCATTTTCAAATGAAGGGAACGAATTTCTTCAACACCAAGAGGCCGCGGGGGTTGCAACCTAGATAGATAGTGGTTTCTGAACCTCGCCGCAAACTTGGCTATCTCAACTCAATCCCCATGTCAAAGGTGGGATAGTCCCTTTAAAGCTCAGGTCCTCAAAATAGAAATAACTGTCAGTTGTAGCTGAAACTTCAGACCATATTTTGTGATGTGTACCCAAACGTGACCATGCTGACACTGACAGTCATGTTCCAGAATGTGTTAAAGCTGACACTTTTGTCTTTCTTTTCTCCGCAGAACAATCCGTGCCAACAGATGGTATTCTTCCTCAAAGACACCACGGCGGCCGACCTGAACGCGGTCATCGAGTTCATATACAAGGGGAGCGTGAACGTGTCGCAGAGCCAGCTGGCCAGCTTCATCAAGACGGCAGAGATGCTGCAGATCCGGGGCCTGAGCGGCGAGGAGGATAAGGTGGGTGTGGGAGTGGATGAAAGGGGAAAGAGGATATGAGAGGAAAAGTACTGCCGTGAGAAGGTAAAACGATAACGTTGGATCAGAGGTCATAACTCATAACCTCAGGCCAGAGGTCACCCGAACGTAATAGGTTTTGCCTTTGTATGGCAGAATAGGTTGTTAGGGTGCGTTGTGAGCATCTTGTTTTAGAGTCTATAGGATTTAGGATTTGATATAGAGAGATTCTATTGGTTACCTGTATTTTGATGTACCTTAACAGATCAATCATATTTCATAATCAACATCTGCTTGCGTTATTTATATCCCCTCCCCTGTTCTGTCAGCAATCTGTGACAGACCACTCAGTGGCCACCTCTCTAACCACAGTTTCTCGTTCTCTCCACCAGGCGGCGCCGCCTCCGTCACCCCGCCGCACCCCCGCCGCACCTGCCACCGCTACGCCACCACACAAACGCCGCCGTATCTCGGGTTCGGACACCATCCCCCGCCGCTCGCCAGCTTCACCATCTCAACGACCACGAACACCAACACCGCCACCAGGCGGACAACCGCTTCCACCACCGCCACCACCTCAACCAGCTACCCTACAAGATCTCCCGCTTGAGCAGACACAACATATGGATCACCAACCTCCACCGCCGCCTCAACACTCTACACACGCTCCGACGCCAGTGGCGGAGTCGGTTAAAGTCGAGAAGATTGATCTCACGGAAGATGAAGAAGAGGCGAGTCTCGACTCGACGCTGTGTCATGTAGCGGAGTATGAAGGTGGTTATGATGGGTCGAACTCTGGAATGGAACAGATGCCCATGCTGTCGGCAGACGCGTTAGGAGGATGTGAGTATATTTGGAGGGGGGGGGGGGGTTGGTAGAGGAGAGGGAGGGTTTAGGGAAAGTTCAGGGCGTTTGAACATTTTGGAGGAGAGGTAGATGGTTGGGTAGAGGGATAGTAGAAGGAGGTTTGTATACTTTTTGTATACTTTTTGGACAGGGCAAGGTTGAGAGCGGGTGGGTGTATTGGAGAGAGGATTGGTTGTGTAAAGAGTATGTGAATGTATTGGGTACTACAGAGAAAGAGTGGGTACAATGTCGTCTTGTCTCTATTGGTGTCTCCCGCCCCTGCCCCTCCACTAAACAGACATAGTTCATAGTTATAGACAGTCCCCCTCCTATCTCCCCCACTGACCCCCTTTTCTTACCTCCCCCTCTCAACCCCACTGACCAGTAGTCGGCGCGCCCTAAAGCCCCAATTAACAAACAACCCCCGCTGACCGCCCCCCCCCCCTTTCCCACAGTACCACCGCTGGGCGCCGGCCCGTCTCAGCCGGCACGCCCCCATGGTCTACCTCACACCCCGGGCGGAGCCCAACCAGAGGACGGATCAGGCGCAGGTAGGCTCGGGAACTGCATGGGATTGCCCGAGGCGAGCCCTAGGGATGTCCCTAGGGTGATGCCTGGGGTTAACCTCATCCGTGCGGACACACTCATACAAGGCGGCGGTTAGGACGTGTGGGCGTAGAATGGCGATGGCCAGCTGGTGTCATGGGTGTGCTGGCGTTAGTGGTTGGCCGGGGCTGAACTCCCAAAATAAACAAGACTGGTTAGTAGTCGGCATATTGCTCTTTTAAGTCTCGAAATTCCTTAACTAACAAGGCGAGTAAATGTTATAAGCTTTACAAGCCTGCTAATAAGTAGGTAAGAGCTTATTCGCAGCAGTACGTCATGAACAAACCCTTTGACGTGGCGGCGTGGCTATTATTCGTACAGAGTTGACGATAATATGTCAGACTCGTTTTTATAATTTGGTTGCCGCTTCTTCAATGAATTGTGCGCTGGTATGAACCAGCGTAGCTCCCGTATTTAGCTCATATGCGACCGTTGCAGCGCTAAGCCCTGCAGATTTCGGAAGTTTGATGTTTTGAAATTGCCAGCATTGCTTATCATTGTCGTAAACATCTCTGACGCCTCGTACTGGCAAATACTCGAAACGAAAATAGCATGGTCATTTCGTCTTCTGGCGCCGTAAATTCTGGTAGGCATCGCTTCCAAAAATATCGATAAAATATTCTTTTTCGGAAAAAAATATCCGCACTTCCGAAAAAGAAGAAGAAGAAATGGCTGCCAGCGGTACATAGTTGGCTTGCGCGGAACGTGCCATACTTATCCACTGAGCACATATTTATTCCGGCAGGCCCGTATACTCGTATATGACCACCAGCCGGATCTTTGTGTACGCGTGTGATCCCAGCCATAAATTTGGCATCGTTAGGTTTTCATTGCGCCGCGAAAACTATGTAATAAATTACAGTAGTTCATTGATGGGCTTCGTGCGACAACTTCTTCCCATATGTCATGATGTGGCATTATTTTTCCCGTTCCATTACTCATAATTCATCTCCACTTTTCAATTATTTTTGCTTTTGTCGAAAATAATTGTTGTTTGAAACGGATTCAATATTCAACAAGTTTGTCCGTTTTTGTATTGCAAAGAAAACTTTAAGCTCGCTAAGAAAAGCTAGCTTTCTGTCTTCTCGTTACATCCGATTCCCATATAGCAATGTAAGGCTCTGATCACACCGTCTTACGAGTAATTCGACCGGACTGGTGGTATTTTTACGGAACTAAGAACGCACCTAGACGCACGGATGGGACTGGTTGGCTGGCCGGATGGATATAGGTTTGAGTGAAAGAGGGAGAAGGCTGGAGGGGTGCGGAGGACAGATAAAGGGATAGAATGAGAAGGGAGGGATGTGGGATTCCGTTAGGGAAAGCGATGGCTGTAGGCAAATACGGAAAAAGTAGGGTAAGTTTTAGAATGGCCCAGGTAGACTGCACTGTTGGCGGAGGAATTAACCCGGCAGTTGCTGGGGTATTTCGCCACCCACCGTTTGCTGGGGGGGGGGGGGGGGCGTTAAACGCCCCCAGCCGATAACTCGAGAACCAATAGGCGCAGCGAAACGCACGAGGCGGCAAACGAAAGAACGCGACGAGACGCTTCAGATGAGTACTTTAAAGTTGAATTTTGAGGTCACAGGTCAGGTCAAGGTCAGGTCAAATACCTAAAATCGGGCTTTCAGTAGCATGGACTTCAGGACTTCGCAATGGGCGCCTCTCGTCATAAACTCTGTCAAAACGGTGCACAATCCATCATATAAGGCCTACAAGAGTGTCAGCTCCATGCAGGGGTCAGTCAAGCATAGGTCAGGGTCAAGGTCAGGTCAACCGGGCAGGCACATATCCCCGAAAATCAAAACTGATATTCGCAGTCTGTGACACATGTTTTATGGGTAATTTGGGGCGTAGAACACGATGGTGACATTCATTTTATCATATGTGTACGTGTTTGGCTAAAAAAGTTCAATTTAAGAAATTCATGTATCATGGTCGTGAAGTAGTCACGAGAAATTGCCAAGATTCAGTTCAAGATTTTGGAAAATACCGAACGATAATCAATAATCGAAGATAGCCATTTGATTCTCCATGGTATTGGCAGTCTAATGGCGTTTACGGCATGTCTATATGTCTATTCTGTGATTTTATATGATTTTTTGAACATATGCCGTTTTTGGTCGAAAACTCAGAAATCATGACGTCACTAAAACCTCGATATCTCAAAAATTTTCCGACCGATTTTTTTGAAACTTTGTCACAATAAACTTCAATCAATTCCCTACAGGTACCCAAAATTTGGCGCGCCTGCGGCGCGCCGTTTTTATGCTATGGCCCGGCGAAAAAAGTGGGGGCGTTTAACGCCCCCCCCCCCAGCAACTCGCGGGTTAATGGGGGGTAGGGGAGAGGGAAGAGCAGGCACTACGTTACGAAGGTTGATTGATAGAAGAGAAATATGAAGGTGGCACAATAAATCTGAAAATCGGGAATGTAATTGATGGCGCAAGGGTGAGACTAGCGGCTCTGATTAAAAACCAAGGGTAATTTTAAGGAAACATCCGAATTAGAGATGGAAGGCTATATAGAGGTGCAGGGCGCCTTGCGCAATTGCTTAGTGGTGTACTAATATTTCAGTTGAAGGGCGGGACGGTGGAAAGGGATGTGGTAAGGGTGGGTGAAGTTAGGCCGGGCTGCATCAACTATCAATTGTGAGGCTAGCAGAGGACGAGAAGCCTCATAAGATAGGCTAATAAATTGTGGACGATGGTTATATGGTGGCTTCACTGGAAGGTATGAGATTATCTTCAGAATATCTAGATGTGGACCCAGAGGAAGCAAGTGTACGGCACCCCACAATACCTACGTCCTTTCAGGGGTTAAGTGGGTCCCTGCGGTTAACTATCCCGTTAGAATATCGATTGTCTTTCCCTCCGCCCAGCCGGCCAGCCCGCCTAAATCCGTGCGCATCATGTGGATTGTGGATACATTCTCGTGCCTATCATGTCCTGCTTTCAGTGGATGTGTAGGGTACACCGTGTAGGAAGTTAAAACCGCCTTGTGTGTGTGTGGTCGCACGGGTGGGAAGTATCTGAGATCACGCATTGCTGGCGCTGATGCCGATCGTGGTGAATTGCACTACGTCGTAGTGGAATTTCACCACGCTGTGGTGGATTTTACTACGCCGTGGTAGATTGCACTGTGCTGTAAGCACTTCATGTTTGATTGGTGGACAGTGTTGGACAGTGTTGAATTGAAATACGTATCAATGTCAGCTCTCTGTTGGTTGGCGCATTCTTGACCGTTGTTGATTTAGCTTATGAAGATGGGATTTGATTTATTCTCTTCAGAGAAGCTGGTTCAATAATTGTCGAATTGATCATGTGCGATTCTTCAGTTAGTCTGGTCTGGTCTCTGGGTCGTTCTTTGCCTTCCATTTGTTCAGCGTCCCACTTCGTTTGTTAGTGTGAACTCCGGTACTGATTTTGGATATCTTCTGAAGCATTCTTTCATATCCTGTCTACATCTACTGCTGGTGGCAAGACAGCTTGGGTCAGCCGTTCCGCACGTTCAGAATATCGTTCGTCATTGCTCAGCATACGGCTCGGCTCGACTGTTGTGGCTACGGAATATCGCTAAATTGGCCTCATTTTTCGGTAAAATAAGTTTTTCGTTCTCTTTATCACTACGTCCGTATAAAAAGGTTTTCGGTCTATAGTTCATTGCATCATTAGAAAAGATTGCAACTCGGGCACAGCTTGTGGTTGCGTATTTCTCAGTCTGTAGCTCCTGGCTCATTCAATCGGTGCTCTTCTTCTATAGTTATACCCAACGACTCTGCTGGATGTGGTTTGGCTTGTTGTTGTACCGGTTTGGTCGTTCTGCAATTCAATATCGTCTCGACAGATTTTATCATCTCGGAATTGATTTCATCGTTCGTCGTCTGACGCTGCCTCGCCTTACCGCTCGAATGACAGTCATTGTATACTCCATACGTTGGTGTTTGCTCATGCCTTCCATGTTCGATTAATCAAGCTAATCCTCCAGAACTGAGGCTTCAGTTAAACTCTTGCCCTTTGGTTGTTATTCGTTGCTATCGCTGGATGGAGAAATATGTTATTTTATTCCAATCTACAGGCTCCTGTTTATCTAAGCTAATTGTTTTTCTTCTCCTTTCTAGCTTTTGGCTCCTACAACCTTTCGTTACTCCCTTTTGGCCATTGGGCAATACCTACTACCACCAAGATACTAACAAGAGTTGGGCTCGCATGTAAGTAGGTAGTTTTTCAACCTCCGTTAGCCGTTTTCTGGGACCAGAATCGCATTAGATTTTCTTCGTTCTCTGCCAGAGTTCGCTTACTGTTTTCTCTGAGACGGTGTTCCCTGACGATCGAAGATAGATTTGACATAAGTCATATAAGAATCCTTAGTACGATCTTTGGTTTTTCTGTGCATTCTCAAGCTGGTTGGGCTTCGGGCGACCGTCTCTTTGACTTTTCGTTCCATGAAGTGGAGTTTGCAGATCGTTATTCTTTGGTAGTCGTTGAAATCCGCTGGGGCATCTACAGAGAACATGACTATCTTTCCCTCGTGATTGCTGTTGGCAGTTGTATGGACTTGCAGCATCGTCTTATTTGCCTTTACGTTGAGTGTTGCCCAAGCAACTCCGTATGTGATTCTTCGGGATGTTTTCAAGCTTTTGATGTCATCGTTTTGATGTCACCATCTGCATGATGTTTCGCTAGTGAAGTGGCGTTGCACGGCAACCATAAGCCTCGTCTTCATGAAACGCATCAGTTTCCTACAGTACTTTCTGCCCAATCGGTGTTATAGCCGTTTTTCTTCGTTGAACCACATCGTCTCCGAGACTTTGTCTGCCTTTTGTCTCCTTTACGCTGCAAATTGGCCAGGTTACGGAGTTTCCATGTATGACGCGAAGAGGGATATGCGACCTTTCTGAAGGCCAAGAAAGACGTCTTTGTATATGTCGCTAGGAAAGTTGTGC